TGTTTTTTATATAATACTTCACCGCCTGCCAGTCTCGTTCACCGAGGGCTTTGGGGGCTGCTGTAAATGCATGCAATGCAGTCGACTTTTCCAGGAGTAACTCCCGAGTGAATAAATTTCATCATTTTCTCTTCTACAGCCGCAATCTCCACCTCACTCCACTTTCTCTACCTAGGAACTAATGACAATAAAATTACATTAATTGCACTGCATGTGTTGTAGGTGCAAGACTGGATTATTTTTATACTATTCTTTATGATCTTGTTGACCTTTTATAAATAAAGCAAATAAAAACTATTACTGGACAGGTTCCTTACCTGATGTTACTTTCATGACCTCCCGTGTCCTCTCTGGAGATCCTTTAGAAACACAATCATATACATTTCTAAATCAAACTACTAATTACTGATAGGCTGTTTGGGGGGAATTCTTGATATTCTGATTCCATTAAACATTTAACTGCCTGTTCATACATCTTACCTTCATTCGTGTTTACTGGCCTGCTGCTATTCACTCCTGAAGTGCCTGCTTGAAGGCATGATTTAATTATTATTTAACTAATGGAAATGACAAACATCTTTAAAAAATGTGTTTACAAATCTTTACCTGGCTCACTTGACGTCACATCATGATAATGATCTGACAGTTCTGTTTCACTCTCCATCCCAGCATCAGGCTCAACGCACTCTGAAATATAGTCTTAGTATTCAGAGATATGCACAGATTCTTCCAAAGTCACTAGGACACGCTTGACAGGTAGTTTAAACTCGATTAACAGGTTACATACCTGTTGGATTGATGCTGATCTGGTCAAGACCTTTCCCTCTGAATTCGTTAAGCCTTCCCTGCTCCATTGCCATCCAGACTTTGGTGATTTTTGCCAGCTGGAGTGTTCCCTCTGGTAATCTGTAATATTTCCTGTGGATACGAATATCATGTCCCAGGAAATCAGCAAGTTGGTCCATTTCGGTGTCGTTCATGTTAAGAACTCTGGACATTGTAGAGATGTGTTTGCGCAACTTGGTGGACGAAAGGGCTTTTGGACATTTAGCACCACACTCCACGGCAAAGCAGCGCAGGCAGTCTGATCCACGAAATGATGTCTCGCAGCCTGGGATTGCAAACATGTAGATGTTCTCCTTCGGAACACCGCAAACTTCACGTGTTTTAACCAGCAACTCTATGGATTTGATCATTTCCGGTGCCAAAAGTACTGCAATTTACCTTCCGCGCTTTCCACGGATTTCTACACGACTAAAGTACTTGCATAGTGCTTGTTCAACTTCTGAGAGAGAGTCAGCAATATAAATATTTAAAGTAGATTTGTCTCGAGACTCGAATGATTGTACTGGCATCAGACAGGCTTCCCCTTGCCTTTTTCTGTCTAAGATGATCATTGGTGCAAGAGTGACTTTAGCCAGTTTTGCCCAGGTCTTGGTGTTCGGTGCATTAAAAAGTGTGCTGTAGTATTCTTGCTGTTTCTCCTTTAAATATGGAGTTTCTTGACATCATCTGCAAATGGCAAGATCAGTGGAGCGTTGTACCTTTTTTCTTCCAGGGTATTGTGAGCATGACATGAGATAATCTCCCTCCAGCGTGTCTGATAGATGTGTTTGAAGTCCTCTGCTTTTTGAACTTTTGTTGTGTCACCACAGATCCTTGCATCACAACTTACAATGTCGGCAACCTTCATGAGGCTCTGACCAAGTTTGTTGGCTAGCTTTGGCACCGCTATCTTATTTGTCTTACACTGAAAGCCTGTAACAGCTTTAACTGCATTAACCCTCTGGGGTCTAAGGTGTTTTTGGGGTCCTTGAGATGTTTTGACATGCCCTGACATTTGTGCTTTTTTCAGTTGCTTATAAACATATTAATGGCACATGTATTTTTAGAGTGTATAATTACACTCTATTTAGCAAACAGGGCTACCATAATATGTGAGCAACATGTATGTACATATTTGTATTTTTGAGAGAATATTGTTTATGCATGGTTATTGAAAAAACTAAAAATTAAAGTTTCTGAAATAAGGCCACAAAACACATATTGATTATTTCTTCACAAGACTTTTGAAAATTGTATCACATAGCCTAGAATATTTGCTCCAAAACTATGTGAGAATCATCCTGACTACTCATTCAGATAAGTCAATAAAGTCTTTTAGAATGTGTATGATGTGTTTAGTGTGAGAAAGCTTTATGCGAGGAGGCGTGATCTCTCATTAATATGTATGGCGTTTCACACCTGAGAAAGACAAAGACCCTCCCATAATGGCCCTATTAGGTGCTATCAGGCCCTATCATTACGAGGAGCCTTGCACAAAGAATGAGGAGATTTAAAAAAGAATGGCTTTTAGATTGTTTGGATTTATTTACAACACAACATAATCCAAAGACACACAACAAAGGACAAAAAAGCACATTAGTAAACACACTGATCTTAAGACAGAGGCTTGAACAGTCACACAACATTGTCCCATTCTTGAAACATAGTACAAACCTGTCATTTCCACTTTGTTTGATTTTTCATTTTACCATGTTTATGTACAGAGACTGTTGAATGTTGAAGTCAGCAGGACTCATCAGTGGCATATCGTCCCTGTAAAAAATAAAATAAAATAAATAAACACCTTTGAACATGCTGATATCAAGAGAAACTATATGGCTGCACGACTTTGGGCATGCATTGTAGATTTTTCTGGTTAAAATTGCGATTTAATTATATATATATATATATATATATATATATACATACACACACACACACACACACACACAGTGCTTAGAATAAGTGAACACACCCATGCTAAAGTTGACTACCCTTCACAACATAGACATGGTTTTATTTCAGTTAGCCTAACTGAACATTTATACATAAATAATATATTGTATTTAGACAGTATCACATATTTTACCGGAGGCTGAAATATATTTCACTAAATCATTATATAACCTAAGCAGTTATTCGCAAACAAAATAAATTACACATAAGGCAGTATTTTAGCATGATAATCAGTGTCATAAGCTAATCAAAACTATTTATATTTAATATACAAATATGTTTAGAGAGTAATATCACATTTAAAAAGTTTACACGAGCGTATACACGAATGTTAGGGATATTGAGGCAATCTTTTCTGTAAGATGTCAAAAGCTAGGCAAAATATAGTCTGAAAATTCATTTGAACTCTATACGATCAGAAAAGAAATTATAAAACACTAAACAACTTACTTCGAACTTGTATCCTCGGCGGGATCAATTCGTTCTTCAAAATGCAGCCGTTCGTCGTCGGAGTTACAATCTTCCTCTGAGGAAAAGGTGAATCCTTCCTCGCTGTCCAGAATCATCTGAAGGAGTAGCGTGCCATCCTCAAAACGCAATGAACTATCAGTGAATCTGATGGAGAAACTTCGTGTTTTTATGCCATTGATCGCTGGGCGTGTGCGATGCATAACGTTAGATCACCTATTTACCATGTGAAAAGCGCTGGGGGCGTGGCGGCCTCAGCTAATTAAAGATAATGAACTGAGACCGAAAAAACTGTACCTCTCCTTGGTTTCAAACGAATTACATAAACTGGAAATATTTCTTTTTTTAATAAATTACTTCATTTAAAAGAAGAGAATACAAGCTTTAAAAAGACACATGTCTCGTATCTCTGTGACAAGTATTGACTGAGTTACAGTTCATTTTTCGGACGCGTTTCAGAATGGACTTCACTGACAGAGAGAACGCAGAACGCGCATCATGTTTATTTTTCTTCAAACTTTTCTATTCAAAGGCGCAAATCGATTGGGCTCGAGTTCTACCAGGTTTTGGAAGAACACCTCGAAGTGGGCACCTTTTCATGTTTCCAAAGAAATCTTTTTTTGAAAAGTCCTTGCCAATTTGCACAATGTAAGAATTTATTTGGATTGACATTTGGAGAACTCGCTTGTTTACATGGAACAATGACACATTTTCCCTTTCTAAAGACTTCTACATTGTGTGCTCTGTCCCCATGTTTCCTTAGTATAGTCAGTTGGAGCTTTCTTTCCTTGTTGTTCTTTGGAGAAGAAATGGCCTTAGCGACTTCAGATTGATCTTTATGAACGAGTTCCAGATGCCTGGCAATTTTGGATTGTGGTTTCTCACAAAAGAGACAGTAATGTTTTTTGGTGTATCTTCTAGATCCATCGTCAGTCTTTTGACTGTGTATGACTGTAAGTGAAGTTATGGAGCTTTCCCCAGATGTGTCAGATTCAGAGTTCCGGTTTCTAGGTCCCTTGTATGTTTTTCTTGTTCCATCTTTAACAGCAGGACTGGCCATGGTGGCAGCATTTTTCTTTAATATACTGCCTCCCTCTGAGCTGGTCTCACTTTCACAATCTGACCCTGGCACATATTCATCCTCTGTTATTTCCATGCTGCTTAGTGAGTCTTCAGAATCATATCCAAGCATTTGTTTTTTTAAACTGAAATTAATCAGAATTCAGCAAATAAAATTTCCTAAATAAAAGGTCTCTGCCACTGAAACAGAACTACAATATCTCCCAATGTCTGTAGAATAAAAGTATTTCCTTCTAACATCCACAAAAAAATACCCTATATTTTAAACTGCTAAAAAAAATGTAAAAGCAAGCATTTGTTACATGCACGCAATTACTCTAGTTTAATATCTAATTGCATGAATAAATGCAAAATTAAATGCAAGTTATCAAGTATGAATGGGTCTTAAGCAGGGATAGGCAACTTCAGTCATGGAGGGCCACTGTCCTGCAGAGTTTAGCTTCAGCCCTGATAAAAACCTCACCTGCCTGTATCTATCTAATCCTGAAAACATTGATTGCCTTGTTCAGGTGTGTTTCATTAGGGTTGGAGCTAAACTCTGCAGGACAGTGGCCCTCCAGGACCGAATTTGCCTATCCCTGGTCTAAAGTATCAAACAAACATTGAAAGGGTTGCCTTTTAAACTGTTACGAAAATCAGTCAAGATAAAATTAACGAATTCTTCAAACTTTTATGAACTGTGGCCATCATCTATACTTTCTTACCTTGGGATTGGAGTGGGACACATTCCCATCTTCTGCAGAGCTGGAATCTGTGTCCATGTGGTTTTGGAAGGCAACCTGTAATCAGTCAAACATGACAAATATAATGGTAGCAGGTATTGAGAATTTTACACAAATTATATTAGCAATAAATGTGTCCCCATAAGGACAGTTAAAATACAGGTCAATGTCCCCAAAAGCTATCATAAATACTCATTACTACCTTTGAGGTTAAAGTGCCGACCAAACTTTCAGGTTTGTTTAGAGGGTGTTTGTATCCATCGTTTGTGGTAAGTCGTTTAAAATGTAGAAATCGATATAATTATATTACAATTTGTCATTCATAACTCACAAATGTAGATAGGTATCGTAAATATGTGCAAAAAATCCAGTATGCCCTAACAGGGTTGGGACAAAGCCTGTAATAATGCCATTCTCGCATCGTTCTGTCAAACACATTATGATAAACTGTTGCTGGGAAATAATTATTACTACAATATAATGTATACTGTGCGGCTCTGAAACTAAATGGTTCTAAAACAACTTGTCTTATTACCTGTGTGTCTGTTGGTGAGGGTATCACAGAATCTTCTGCTGGTTGAGTGACTGGATGCAATTCTGGGCCCAGCTAAAAATCAAATAAAAAATTCAATGCTACAGAAAGAGTGTAGAATGATTTTTTTTACTAAAGTACATACAATTGTAAACTGCAAAAAAAAAAATGTACAAGTGATCATTTTTGTTATGTGCATGCAATGATTTTCTGTTCTCTACATTTATAATTAGTAGTCACTTCTCTAAAGTAATGATCCAACTTATTTGAATTGCGATGTGATTGTATTAGAATTTAGGCATGGACCAGAACAGATTAATAACCTAGTTTAATATCTAATTGCAAAAATAAATGCAAGTTATCAAGTATGAATGGGTCTAAAGTATCAAACAAACATTGAAAGGGTTGCCTTTTAAACTGTTACGAAAATCAGTCAAGATAAAATAAATGAATTCTCCAAACTTTTATGAACTGTGGCCATCATCTATACTTTCTTACCTTGGGATTGGAGTGGGACACATTCCCATCTTCTACAGAGCTGGAATCTGTGTCCATGTTGTTTTGGAAGGCAACCTGGAATCAGTCAAACATGACAAATATAAAGGTATTGAGAATTCTACACAAATTATATTATCATGCATATAATGCAATCCCCAGACAAGGTGTCCCCATAAAGACAGTTAAAATGCAGATCAATGTCCCCAGAAGGTATCATGCACCTTCCAAATAATGCAATCCACCCTTAAACAAGGTGTCCCCATAAAGACAGTTAAAATACAGGTCAATGTCCCCAGAAGGTATCAAATAACATCACACATCGCTTGTTCGTTCTATCCTCAATTTATACATGAGCACAACAGCAAAAATAATACCCTACAATTTCATGTTGGCTGAGCGTGAGTTGGGGGAATTTCTTGTATAATGCACTCTCATCATGACATTTCGATAAATAATCTTACTGTGGTTTTGTCTCTTACAAAGAGATCATTAGAGGCATATTGGTTTAACGTTTATACATTATATGATGTTTTATTAAAAAAGTTCGGGAGGAGCACGTTCAGATAATTAAACCTAATTAAACACACGTGGAGCACATTCAGATAATCAAACCTAATTAGACAAGAGTGGTGCCTAATAAACGAGTTAAGCGCTGTGTATATATACAGCAAACTAACCTCCGTTCATTGACAGTTTAACAGCATCCCTCCACCACCCCATCTCCTCACTTATAGTCCTAATACTCTTACAACAGCGGGGGGAGTACTCTGGGTTCGGGCAAAATTCCGAGCTCGGAGCCCTCCCCCCGGACAGCACGCCAAATACGCATAATCTTTACTCTGTTTAATTGATGTAAGTGTGAACTCGTGAAACAGTTGTATGCAGAGCAGTACACAATCAAAATATTTCTTGGTGAGTCGTATACCTTTTAAACCCTGTCACAGTTAAATGTGATCTTCAGACCACAAACTTTCAAGAATAGTGACTTAAAAGGTAGATATTTTATGTAACCCTAATTGACAGACTTAGGCAAGTAATTAATGTTGTTACTTACAAATACACTCTCTGTTCTTTTCAGTGGTGGTACACATTCGCTGGTTGAAGGAGATTCATGGTCAATTTCTGACCATACCTGCAATAAAAAATAATTATCATTTGAGGCTATGAAATTACAAAACAGATTAGGCACTTTATTGAGACTGAATAACAGTCTTACAAAACAAAAACAAGGGGAAACAAAGCTTTTCCTTTTGCTAGAGTGACATGTGACACAGAAATTCAAATCCGGGAACCAGTTAACACATCTACAGTGCGCTCTGTAAGTATTGGGGCCAACACATATTTTATTGTTTTTGCTCTGTACACAAGCACAGTGGATTTGAAATAAAGACCTGAGGTTATTACCAACTTCTGTTTAGAGAATGTTTCTATCCATCTTCTATGGACAGTGTATGAGGGTAGCCATTTAAATACATGGTCTCCAAATTTCAGCGGACAAAGTAATTAGACAAACAATATTTTAGGATTTATAATGGTTTTTATTGACGGATGTACCCAATGAACTATATAGGAAAACTGCTTCGGTGCACCTTATAGTTTGCAAAAAACATAGCAGGATCATAATAGTTTTTAGTTGTATAAATATACTAAAATTATATCAGCAAGAAATTACATATCAGTTCCAATGGTTATCCTTAAGAGGACTAGGATTCTATCCTCACTAAGCCAAAGTGTCCCCATAAGGACAGTTAAAATACAGGTCAATGTCCCCAAAAGCTATCATAAATACTCATTACTACCTATTAGGTTAAAGTGCCAACCAAACTTTCAGGTTTGTTTAGAGGGTGTTTGTATCCATCGTTTGTGGTAAGTTGTTTAAAATGTAGAAACCGATATAATTATATTACAGTTTGTCATTCATAACTGTAAATGCGTATCGTAAATGTGCAAAAAAATCCAGTATGCCCTAACAGGGTTGGGACAAAGCCTGTAATAATGCCATCCTCGCATCGTTCTGTCAAACACATTATGATAAACATTGTTGCTGGGAAATAATTATTACTACAATATAATGTATACTGTGCAGCTCTGAAACAAAAAAAAAAATTACCTGTCTTATTACCTGTGTGTCTGTTGGTGAGGGTATCACAGAATCTTCTGCTGGTTGAGTGACTGGATGCGATTCTGGGCCCAGCTAAAAATCAAATAAAAAATTCAATGCTACAGAAAGAGTGTAGAATGATTTTTTAACTAAAGTACATACAATTATAAAATCACTGTTGTTCCATATCCCTTATGCCTATTAATTACAAACAGTAATGTTTAAAATGTTTTCCATCAAATATATAAATAGCAGTAGGTAAATCTTATTTTCAATTCATGCAAATCCTGGTTTACCTTAGCCTGGGTGTTCCCAGGCTGCCTTGCGCGCAATTTGATTCACGCTGCTAAGGCAGCCTGGACACCATGGACTAAATTTTCCCCTGAAAAAGGGAACCAATCACAGAACGGGGAGGGATCAGCAAGACAATGACGACATCTATGCGACACATCGAAGAAGTTTCGGTAACACTTTACTTGAAGGGGTGTGCATAAGACTAACATGACACCTTCATAATCATGACATGACACATGTTATGAATATGAAGGAAGTTGTATGCATGTTTGTGACAACTGTCATTACGTGTCATTCGCTCAATTATGACATTTTTTAATGCAAATATGACATTGTTTGAGATGTCTTTGTTATGAACCAATACATCATAACCTGTCAGTGTCTTTGTCATGACAACTTGACATTACTAAGACAACACAACCTGTCATAAACATGACATAGCAGATTAATTATCAAATTTAAGAAACCACTTAGCTTTATTGGTTAACATTACATTAAACTGTCTGGTGGATGGTTTTGACATTGGCTGTCATGAAGCCATTATAACTGTTTAATGAAAAATTCAATTTGTACCACTGTAGTTGAGGTCACGAAAAATATTCATGACACAGTTATAATGGCCTTATGACAGCCAATGTCAAAACCAACCACATGACAGTTTAACTTAATTTAATGTCAAGTTGTCATGACAAAGACACTGACAGGTTATGATGTTATGGTTTATGTCAAGGTGTCATAACAAAGACATCTTAAACAATGTCATATTTGCATTCAAAATGTCATTATTGACCGAAAGACACTTAATGACAGTTGTCATAAACATGCATAAACCCTACTTCATATTCATGACATATGTCATGTCATGGTTATGAAGGTGTCATGTCAGTCTTATGTACACCCCTTCAAGTAAAGTGTTACCAAAGTTTCTATGGATCCAACATGGCATCAGACGCGAAATTACCTTTCGATGCAGCTTTAGATAGTGTTTTAAGTAGTTTAGAACGCAAGTTTGTTTTGAAAAAAGAGCAACTGTTAAACAATTTCATAAGCAAGAGCATTTGATAGACATTCGTAGCGCCCAATAAACGGCTCTGGGCATTCGTAAACCACGCCTCAAATACGAGAAAATGAACCGGTGGTTCCCAGACCAAGTCTCGAATGAGAATTGGTCTGACGTTAGCCAGGCTAGGTTTACCTGCTACAGTTTTTAGAACAGAAAATATTTTACCTAAGTTCTGTCAACGTACAATAAAATGACTCACCATTTTATCCAAGTTTGCCAATTGCAGTAGGAGTAAGACTCGCTGTCTTTGAAGAGCGTTTCGCTTCTCTGCCGTAGATTCATACCGAGTTTCACACCTATTGTGGTGTTCTTTTAATTTGTCAATCCTGGCCTGCAATTGTTGAACCAAATATAACAATCAGTGTACCAGAAATTATTGTTTAAAAAAAAAGAGTGAAATGCAATACTACAAAAAGGTTGATAAATTAATTTGGATTTAAGTAACCTGGAATGGTCTATTACTTCAGACAGACCGACACTAGGGATGATAAGATTTTCATGTTGAAAATGAATTTCTTTTGTTCTGTACACCAGTACTTTGAAACAATATAATGAAAACACATCACAAACCTTTTAAATGTAAATATGACAGGGTGCCAGCAAAGAAATGCAGGTTTGGAAACCAGACTTGTCTTTGTTACGGTCATGCGGTATGGATTAGTTATTTAACTAAAGTCAGAGTTATCAAGTCAGCCTCAAACCATCATGCTCATGCTACCAACATAACCTATGTGTATTAATCTCTTTATAGTTTGTTAAGTAATTACCTTACTCTACTTTATAGCACTGTTTTGATGAGAAACAAATGTGTAAGTCTTTCCTACTTACATCAAAACACCATGTATCCACATTGTCATTGTGTAATTTCAAATTTAAAGTACAGAACATGAGAAATGCTTTAGTGTCCATACTTATGTGGGCCAATATTATGTTTGAAGTATTAGTATAGCAAACAAATAGATGTGGAAGTGACGTTTTTGGGCTATGCAAGAGTATAATTCAATGTTCATTTGACTTTGGAACCAGACAGTGGAAACTTTGACAATCATGAATACATAGTGCAGATCCACAAACTGACCCAGTCTGGGGCACTTATGCGCTTACCTTCGAGCGCTCACTCTGCAAATTATCATCTGCAAGAACAACATAATTTGTTAGTCCTTATTTATACTTTTCACTTCCCTTACACAATAACTAATCAATCAGTCTAGAGTTTGAGACCTGCAACAGTGATATGTGTGATGGGGTAGGGGGGCAGTTGCGTTTACCTGAGACGGGCATGTTGGACAGGGTGTCTGTGCCAGTGAAGTGTGTTTTGGGGACTAGGAGAGGAAACCACACAGATGACAACAAAAGTGAAATATAGTAAGAGGGCATTTACACTGAGAAAAACATGGGACATCTTTGCAGAGGAGGATAAGTATTGATCAGACAGCACCACTGCATTTATTCTGCATACGTGGTTCTAATCTTTGTAATATAGGCATGTAATTCAATCATTTTTAATGGATGCATGAGTGCAACAGAAGTTAAATTAACTTTTTGCTACAACTTTGTCTGTTCTAATTGTGTGTACACAATGGGTGCATACAATAGATAAATCCAAAACAGAATCCACTGTGACATCTGAACTAATGCAATTCATTAAAACTGTGGAAATAAAGAAAAAATAATCTAGAAAAAATGGCGGCACGCAGCTCAGCACGCTGCTTAGCTATTGAATGGAGCTCTGATTTTGTTGATATTTCACCACATTAATTTATCATACTAACTACACTTTTGAAAACAACCTAAGCAAGTATGGGGGGACCCACGATTGCACAGATGAAAAGAGTGGAGGAACAATTGGAACTGATCAGCTTAACGCTGAGAAACGTAACTAAACAGGAAAACTTGACGGCATTGAATGAGAAACTGTCAGCTGATATTCAGTTGCTTTTAATTTGCTACTGATGAAGAAAGATGAGAAAATTGCTATGTTGGAGAAACGAATCGACGATCTTGAACAACACACGAGAATGAACGACCTTATTATAACTGGCTTGGAAACGAAACACCGTACCTATGCGAGGGTGGTGGATCCAGAGGAAGGAGCCCTCGAGGCTAGTGCACCGGGGACAGAGACCCAATCTCTGGAACAGCAGGTTGTTTATTTCTTGGTGAGCAAAGATATTGAAGTTCAGAGTGAAAACTTTTCCGCCTGTTATTTGCTACCTAGGAAGCGTCACTCTACGATTCCTGGGCCTCCTGCCATCATTGTGCGCTTTGTGAACCATAAACACAAAGTCGTGCTGTTGGGACAAGGGGGGAAATTGAAGGGCACGAAAGTCTACCTCAACGAATATCTCACAAAGAAGAACGCCGAAATTGCTAAAGACGCCAGATTGCTACGTAAGAATGGAAAGATTCAGTCGACATGGACCCGGAACTGTAAAGTGTGGATCAAGATGAATGGATTACGACCAGAGGATGTGAAGGTTTTGGCGATACGGGAATCAAATCAGTTGGATGAATACAAATGAATCGTCTCAGTCTCAAGAACTCCTGTTTCCACTGCTGCCGATGGATTGTTCGGGTTCTTCGAGTGAAAGGATTAGTACTGACGTGTTGGTGGAACGTGAGTCCTTTTGGTGTGATGTCGTTCTTACAAGGTACTATCTTATCATTTCCTTACTATGTCAACAATTGACTCCAGTTTCATAACAAGTGACTGGAATCACGAAGCACTTGTAATAGATTCACGGACTCTGAACCCATTTGAGCTGAACATGGTCAACAACTCTCGAATTTATGAAACCTTTTTTAATCCTGACTCCAATAATAATTATTTGAACTCTGTTAACTTGTCGTGTGAATATTATACCGAACAGCAATTTAATTTCTTATCTTGCTCGTCTCCTACATATTCTGACCAAACTTCGTTTTCCACGATTCATGTGAATGCACGTAGCTTCAGAGAAAACTTCGATCACTTTAAATCCTTTTTATCTACCTTGTCACACTCCTTCTCAGCTTTAGCATTTACGGAAACATGGCTCCATAATGATACATCACATCTCTATAATCTATCACACTATAATGCTATTCACTCTTGTAGAGAAATGAAAAGAGGAGGAGGAGTCTCTTTGTACGTGTCTGATGATTTTAAGTATATTCTCAGAAAGGATTTAAGTATTGACTTCAACTTAACATTAGTAGAATCCTTATTTATTGAAATTCCTTCATGTTTTTTATTTAAAGGGAAAAGCATTGTGATTGGATGTATTTATAGACCACCGGCTACAGATATAAATACTTTTATTGATGCACTTGATTCAACTTTAGATATTATTTCAAAGGAACATACCGTAAAACTTCAAATAATAGCCGAGTCCCAAATAGACGCCTGTCTCTTTTACACGCCTGGTGTGGCTGCAGGTTTGGGTAAATAAAGGCCGGTCTCAAATAGAGGCCGGGTCTGTTTTTTAGTTTCGGGTTGTATTTAATCCTCTAAAACCGCCAGATCGCCCGCTTTTTGGCGGCCGCCAAAGCACATTTTTGTCCCTCCAAAGCCTTTTTTGATCGATGAGTGATGTAGAATAGAATGACTGCTGCGCCTGACAGGGCGCGTTACGAGCTGAGAGAGAGAGAGCGCCCCCGGCCGCGCGCGCGCGCACTCTCCCGTCTTCAAATAACACGAGCGCTGTCTTGCTCTCTCTCCCTCCCGCATATTAATCAAAATCAATTGACGCGATAGTAAAAGGTCGGAAGACCGCAGTTTCATGTGGAGCATTTTGAGATTTCTAGAGATTAGAGACAGGCCTATACACTCAATGAACAACATCTCAACACTAAATTAATTATAAAGGCCTGTCTCATATAGACGCCTGTCTCAAATACAAGCCGGTGCAGTTCGACGATTTGGGTAAATAAAAGCCCGGGCTACTATTTGAAGTTTTACGGTAAGCTCTGTCTGTTACATGGTGACTTCAATTTGAATATCTTACATGCCGATCTCACTGCTACACAAGATTTTCTTAACACCCTGTACTCTGTAAATTTCTACCCTTTAATTACAAAACCTACTAGGGTCACTACACACTCAGCCTCTCTTATAGATAATATTTTGTTCAACTCATGTGACTATAAAGTGTCAGCAGGGCTGTTATGGTGTGACGTGTCTGACCATTTTCCAGTCTTTCAAATGATACACTCTGTTTTTGATGCTTGTACTACTAATAATGTGCATGTTAAATATCGAAATTTCACCCATAAAAATATTGGAATATTCAAATCAGCCATCAGCTCTATCATATGGGACGAGGTCATGCTGTTGCAGGATGCTATTAAAGCCTATGATTTATTTTTGACTCTCTTTAATTCTGCTCTGGAATCCAGTTTTCCTTTGATAGCTGTGAAATCCAAAGTAGTTAGAGATAAACCCTGGTTTACCGGTGAATTGAGGAAACTATCTAGAAAGAAAAATCGGTTGTATCGCAAGTCTGTCACCAAGCCCACTCCTCATAACCTAGAAACATACAAAAAATATAGGAACCAATTCACAAGATTAATTAAGGCGACTAAAAAAAAGTTTTATGCTGACCAGTTTAATCGTGTCTCTAATGACATTAAATCAACCTGGAACATTATAAATCAGGTACTGTGTCGCAATAGGAAGGCTGCATCTACACCTACAGTGATGAGGGACTATGATAGGTGTCTATCAGACCCCATTGATATAGCTGATGGTTTTAATATTTTTTTTTACCAAAATTGGGTCTGATTTAGCTCACAATATCCAGAAGACTGATAATGATCCATGTAGCCAAATAAATGGGCGGTACGCTCCCCTCCCTAATCTTGATCACCCAACTACGCAGGAGCTCCGTGATATTATTTTTTCTTTAAAAAACTCAGCCCCTGGCCACGATGGTATTAAGAGTATCCTCCTCAAGGAGACCATTGATCATATCATTCAACCTCTTACTTATGTTATTTCTTTATCATTTCAATCCGGAATTATTCCCCAAGCTCTTAAAATTGCAAAAGTTATTCCCATTTTTAAATCAGGTGATATAGAGGTGTTTAGCAATTATCGTCCTATATCCATTCTGCCCTGTATCTCTAAAATATTTGAGAAACTCGTCTAAGAACGATTAAATAAACATTTAATTGTTAATAACATTATATATAAACACCAATATGGGTTTCGGAAAAAATATTCAACAGAACATGCATTAATACAGCTTGTAAATTTTATTTCAAATGCCCTTGATAATAAAAAATTTGCTCTCTGTGTTTTTCTTGATTTAAGTAAGGCTTTTGATACTGTTTCACATGATATTTTGATTTCTAAGCTTAATGGATATGGGGTGGAGGGTACTGCCTTAGTTTGGTTCCGCAATTACTTTATCAACAGAGAACAATTTGTTTATCTCAATGGTTTCTTTTCTAAAACTTCTAAAATTTCATTTGGGGTTTCTCAGGGTTCTATTTTGGGTCCTTTATTGTTTCTAATTTATATTAATGATTTATTCCTTTGTTGTAAATTTTTTTTACCCATATTATTTGCTGATGACACCAATCTCATTGCAGTGCACGAGGATTTTGTCACCTTGATACAACATGTTAATGACGAGTTAAAAATACTATCAAATTGGTTTCGCTCTAACAAGCTAACGCTAAATGTCAAAAAATGTAATTTTATGATATTTCACAATATTAATAAATTCTACCCCAAAGAACATGCTTGTATAGAAATTGATGGAGCTCCAGTTATTCAAGTGGCTTCAACAAAATTTCTCGGTGTCCTGATTGATGAAGGTTTAACTTGGTCTAAACATGTTGATCTAGTTTGTACAAGATCCTCTAAAATGTTAAATATTCTAAGAATTGTTTTACCTTCAATTCACTCATCTGCTCATTTAACGATTTATTATAGCTTTTTATTCCCCTTTATGAATTATTGCAATATTGTCTGGGGTGCTACTTTTCCCACTTATCTTGCAAGAATTTCTAAAATTCAAAAGAAGTTCTTGCGGATGATTTCCTACTCGTCCAAATATGCTCCTTCGGCACCGCTATTTCTTAGATTCAAGATTTTACCAATTGAGAACGTCAATGTTTATTTCACATGCATATTTATTCATAAGTTTATTTACCAGAGAGAAGACCTTCCACCAACATTACAACACTTTTTTACTTTTATTTCTGATACTCATATCCATCAAACAAGGCACAGTGAAATAAATCTTGTCTTACCGTTTTCTAGAACTTCGGGCTATAAAACTGACCTCAGCTTTAGGGGTCCTCAATTATGGAGTAAATTAAGTTTGTCCTTAAGATCTATGTCTTCTTTGTTTATCTTTAAAAGACAGTTGAAAGACCTTTTGATTTTAATATGACAGCATTTGGTTATAGTTTTCTGCAGTATATTTCATATGCTGCTCTTCACTTTTGATCCTCCTTTACCATTACCCATCAACATCTGTAATTTTAAGTTAAAAGGATAATCAGGCTTCTGAAAATGTTTTTCCCCTCTTTTATTATTCAACTCATTCGTCTGCGTGTCTTTATACATATATATATATATTTTTTTTCTTGTTTTGTTGTTTATTCATGTAAGTGGAGTGGAACTCTGTATAAACCCAAGTGGGTTTCGTTCCCCTCCTTGTATTGTATCCTTGTGATATTTTTGCAGAACAAATAAAAAAAAAAAAAAAAAGATATTTCCATAAATAAAAACCAGTTGGTGTGATCAAACCTTTGGCATAGGAAATGTATCTCATAAAAACAAATTGGCCTGAACAATTAAAGAGCAGCGTTTTAGGAAAGGGTTTTAGAGTTGTAGTGGTCTATACCTGTGTCAGCAGGCTGTGAGTCTGCAGTTGTGACTGTGGTGAGTTCAGTCCCTACTGAATCAGCATGTACTATTGCAGCAGCAGACTTTCTACTCCCAATCTACAAAGGGAAATGTTACAAGTTGTAATGTGCAATTGCATAGGCCACACCTAAAAGTTCAACAGCTGCTCCACAACAACTCATATGTATTTTTGCATTTGATAAGATTTAAACAGTATGCGCTTAATAAATTCCTACCTCAGGTTTCACGCTAGGTAGTACATCCTTGTTAACCTGCTAAGTAAACCAAGATAGAAACAAATTCAACTACCGCTTCCTTGTTTGGAGTGTCTGCAACAAATTGCATGAAATATAAACTCTTCTCCAGGTAGGTGGCATATTGGATATATAAATAATAAGGTAACTCACCTGTGCTCTCCATGCCCAGTTTGAGTCACCGTAGTTGTAAGTCAATTCTTCTCCAGCTGTAATATCTTGAATCGCGAAGAGACACAAGTGTGGTTTCTCATTTACTTTTATGGTTTTCATTTTGCAATTAGGTCTTCTGTGGTCGTCATTAACAAGTCTCCCAAGGGAAGAGTCCTCTTCACATTTCATATTAATGAAACATTTGTTTCATTAATATGTATTAGCACAGAGGTTCGACTATGAAGAGGCAGTATTTGGTTAATTTAAATTATTTGAGCAGGATGTACCAATGAATATATATACAATTCTATAAGTAGGGCTAGGTATCGTTCAAAAAAAAACTTCGATACCAATACCGATACCTTGTTTTCGATACCGGTTGCTGAACGATACTTTTTTTTATACCAATTTTATGAAATCCATTTTAACAAGATTACATAACACATTACCTCAGAAAACCTTTGGTTTTATTTTTTCAGTTTGACTCATGCTCCTTAGCCAGTGCATAAAGGAACATATTTTTTTTTGATAAAGAGCTCATGCTCACCCAAGCTGAATTTGTTTGATCAAAAATACAGTAAAACTTGTAACATTGTGAAATAGTATTACAATTTAAAATCTTATTTGAATAAATTTCAAAATGTAATTTATTCCTGATGTCAAAGCTGAATTTTCAAAATCATTACTTCAGTGTCACATGATCCTTCAGAAAAAAATTCTAACCAACCAACACATTTTTGAACGGCAGTGTACATTCAGTTATTATTGCAAAACACTGTCAGAGTGATCAACAAGGTATCTCTTCATTTACCAGTCGAGTCAAGGGCTTTATCATATCTGTCGTGGTACCGGTCTTTGCAGCAATTATTTTACCGCAAATACTGCATTGCGCGCTTTTGACATCGAACCTGAGAAATTTTGTCACACTTTTGATCGATATATCCACATGGGTATTGTGTGTGTGTGTGTGTCTCATATATGAGTATGTGCGTGGAGAGTTTGTGTGTGTGTGTACTCGCGTCTCATTGAGTATGTGCCGGTGTGTGCTTATCCATCCTTTCACCCATATTCTTTTTTGAGGGGGGTTCTGAAGAGATCATTGCGCAAACAACTTGCAACGCCAATTTTGTCCCGGCGTCCATTTTCAAATAGACAACTCCTGTTTTGCGTCATTTTCCATTCCAGTTCTCGCGTGTGTTTTCGTGACAAAACGTGGTTTGGGGACCGGATAGTGTCGTTGGGTGACCGAGTTGTTGTCAGCTCGTGTAGTGTGTAACCCCCTGTTGCAGATTATTCACGTAGTGTGAACACCACAAAGACTTCAAGACTCCAGAGCAAGTCATGTAGTCTGAACAGCACAGCGATCTGCCGACGTTTAAAGTTGTGTAGTGTGAACTCGGCATCACCTGCATTCTGTCTCCGCTCGTTGTCAATCAACTCCTGTTAACTTCATTATCCATCTCTTGAGTCTGCTTCCATAACACTGACTCTTTCCGTATGTTTTTTATATGTGTTTTAGAGATTTAATTCAAGCCAAATATTAACATTACTGCCCAATTTACTTCTGAATAGGTTGTATACTTCATAAATATTTTGAAAAGTATGGAAATATATGGTTCATATCACTCAAACAATATATGGAAATCGAAGAGTCCTTATATGGTTGCCGATGGAGTCTGGATGTCATCTGGATGTTTATTTATGTGCATAAAAAAATCGTACTTTTTTTTTTTACCTGAAATTTGACACAGAACTTGTTCAGATATTTAGCTTTGATTCTCTTGAAGTTTTAGAGTTGAACATGTTTTGTTATATACATATATATATATATATATATATATATATATATATATATATATATATATATATATATATATATATATTACATTTTCATAAACTTAAAGTTTAAAAAAAAGTTATAGAAGTTTATTTATTTATTTTTACTTCTACAATATTCTGTGACGTGTTCCCTTTAACAATAAATCAAACTTAAGTCTGTGCTCTGAAGTATTCAAGATTAACCTGTTAAGCACTGAGGGACTTTTTAGAGTTTTTAGAGGGTTTTTTTCTGAGTGACACACACAAAAGTAAAGACTCATAACTTCAAAACTATAGTAAGGAGAGTCAAAAGGTAGGTATCGTTTAAAAGAACACTTTTCAAATTTTTAAAAAATATAAATTACATTACATTTGGACATTCTCCTGCTGAGAAACTGCTGATAAAAGACAGAATATATATATAATTTTTATTATGATTTTGCATATCTTTCTTATTTGTCATGGAATAACTCAGGAAGGAAAACAGGTAGAAGGAAAATTCTTTTTTGGTAAAGTACCTCTACATGTGACCTGCAGCTGGATCAAATTTTGTGGTCATTGGATGAAGTAATCAAAAGTTACAGCATTTGGAACCAATATAGCATTTTTGTTCAGCCCTTGACGCCCCCTAATGGGCATTTTTAAAATTGGTTCTCCATGAAGAATTTCTTATCATAAAAGCAATATATTATGTTAATTTTGGGCTCATTTTAATTGTAATAATATGCTGTAAAAAATTAATTGCCATTTTCAACGATCTGTGAATGTTTCATGAGCTGTATGATGTTTTTGACATAGTAAAAAAAGTATTTTATAAATTATGAAATTTTTATTTATTTATTTATCAGCAAATAACTCAGCACTACTTAGGAGTTTATCAAATTGGCTACATTCACTGCAAAGTTCAGACTCTAATTTTTCAAATGACACCAATTTTGTGTTAATCGAGGCATTATTTTTGAAAAAAATATGATAATGTATATTTTCGCAGCCAGGTTGCCCCCGCGGGCGGGGGCATCAGAGTTAGAGGGACTAGTCAGCTCTCGTTCAGAGAAAATCAAAGTGATTATATGCATTAAAAAGCTGAGATTCTAAGCTTTAAAATGATACCTATTTTGTGTTATTCCACGTTTGAGAACGAGCACGGATGGCTCCGGGAACATTGGAAAACACATTGCACCCCGGAAAGACAAGAGACTTTTTAGCCAAGTATTCATCACTTCATGAGGAATATCTCGTGATCAACGCGATGGATTATATTGTGTTTGGGCTCTTTGTAATCGTGAGAATCTGCTGTCAATAAAGGTTTTCAATTTTTCACAATCCATGCATGTTTCGTGGAGTTATGAGCTGCAACGTCACATCAAAATAGCATAGCATCGCTGCTACTGCTACTTCATGGGTGCGCATAGTGCAACTTCGTTTTAGAAGTCCACGAGGAATATCTTTAGATCTGAGTGATGAATTATGGTGAGTTTGGGCTCTTTATATTCTTTAAAATCTACTGTAAATAATGATGTGCCATTTCCCACAATTTCTGCATGATTCGTTGAGTTAAAAAACGCGACATCAATGCTCTATCTACATACTAGGCTCTATGCGCGCATGTGGAGGTTCGCGTGTCACAACTCCATTAGGAATATCTTTAGATCTAAGTGATGGATTATGTTGTGTTTGGGCTCTTTTTAATCGTGAGAGTCTGCTGAAAATAAATATATGCAATTTTCTACGATCTAGGCATGCTTCATGAAGTTATACGCGAAAACCAAACGCTAGTGCATTGAGTATATACTTGTCTAGCTGCGTCTCTGGTATTTATTTGTGTTAGAACGCCATGAGGAATATCTTTAGATCTGATTGATGGAATATATTGAGTTTGGGCTCTTTGTAATCGTGAGCTCCTGCTGTAAATATCGATGTGTAATATTTCATGATTGATGTATGTTACATGAAGATACGAGTAAAAAGGCCAAGTCTAAGCTACCTTGCTTAGCCATGTGCGTCTGGATTTTTTTTGTGTTAGAAATGTGTTAGAACTCCATGAGGAATATCTTTAGTTCTGAGTGATGGATTATGTTGAGTTTGGATTCATTTTTATCGTAAGCATCTGCTGTAAATAATGATGTGTCATTTTCCACATTCGGAGCATATGGCACAGGACTATCTGAGCTGTATGATGTTTTTAACATTTTGCAGTATGAAGTATGAAGTATGATTTTTTCCCCCTCCTATTTATCAGCGAATAACTCAGCACTACTTAGGAGTTTATCAAATTGGCTACATTCACTGCAAAGTTCAGACTCTAATTTTTCAAATGACACCAATTTTGTGTTAATCGAGGCATTATTTTTGAAAAAATATGATAATGTATATTTTCGCAGCCAGGTTGCCCCCGCGGGCGGGGGCATCAGAGTTAGAGGGACTAGTCAGCTCTCGTTCAGAGAAAATCAAAGTGATTATATGCATTAAAAAGCTGAGATTCTAAGCTTTAAAATGATACCTATTTTGTGTTGTTCCATTCAGTGGTTGCTTAGTAATATGATTATGAATTTTTTTTCGCGGAGGGGGGGTGTCCCGCTGCGGGGCACTTCGGTTTCAACAACTTTTAAGCTAATATTTCATTTGATATGTATCATAAAAACGAAAGTGATGGTATTCTTTGTAAAGACTAGATTCTAAGCTTTCAAATGAGACCATGTATTGGGTGATACCTTATATGGAAGCTTTTAAAAATAACGTACGAACATCATAACAAGATGTTGCCCCCGGTACCGGGGGCGTTGGGTTTTAACAGGTTAACAATTTAAGTTGGAAAAGTCAAACTTTGAAAATACGAAGTTGTTAATCTTCAGAACTTCACTTCAGAACTAGAGTTGAAGAGCCCTGACATACAACAATGAAGTGTTTTGTATTTTGGGTCTGAACAGATTCTTTTGAATAGCTGCCTATATGGGTCAAATTGACCCACAAAAAGCAAGATCAAATACAATTTCTGTATCCACATTTCATTTAATTTATCTCGATGCCGAGCCGCTTGCTGCTGCGATTGAGCGAGAATCAACCAATCGTCTATGTAGTTCAATATATGAATGCCCTGGAGCTGCAGCGGGACTAGCGCTGCATCCATGCAGTTCGTGAACGTGCGGGGAGATAAAGCTAGGCCAAACGGAAGAACCCGATACTGGTACGCTTCGCCCCCGAAAGCGAACCTCAGGAACTTCCTGTGTTGCGGAAGGATGGAGATGTGGAAGTATGCGTCCTTCAGATCTATCGTGACAAACCAGTCCTCGGACCTGATTTGT